TATGACATTTCATTTTGGTTGGCAATGGTTGCCAAGGTTTTTATACCACAGAGAGCCTTCAAAGTAACACTATGTATGTTAAAATCTGATCCTATCTTTAAAAAAAGCACATTTCCTCAAAACTTATAATCAATTTTATAAGATGATGGTGTGCTCCAAGTTTTCCCATTTGGAAAAAATCAGATTTTATTTTTTTAAAATAGAGCGTTGCTATGGAAATAAGCAGAAAATATATGCTTAAAAACCTGAAAAATATTTTCTTTCCTTGAATACGTACCCTTTAATGTAGATTCCCAAAACTTTTATAATTGATATTTATTAACAGCTAACTTGACTTTTAATTTTGACTATCATCCAATCTCAAAGTGGATGCAAGAAGTTGGCACACAGCGTTAAATATTGATATAAAGTTAAAAAAAATCGAAAATTTTCCCTTCTTGGTAACCATAACAACAGTGTTGTTTTATTCATCAAATTTTTATCAATATATGATATTCAACTTCAGTTCTAACAGATTAGTACTATTCAAGCTGAGTCCTTTAATTTGTTTTGATTAAATGGCAATTTAATTCTTAATGGAGCGAAAAATAATTCACTTTTAAGCACTGGTACTTTGTTTCAATGGTAATATTACAAAGGAGCAATTATACCCAATTTTTCTTATGTTTTGATGTTGCAAGATCCTAAGGATGCATAATTGCCAGTCTTGAATTTTGAAGTTTTTCCTCAAGACAGTAGCATAAACCCAATCTTAGGTACTGGTTTTGCCTGGTTACACTGTGTTACCATGGCAACCATAAAAGTTATCTGTAGAATAATATTGCTTATACTTATATACTTAAGGTCAAACATTTTCATTGTTTTTCTTAAGTCGTTGATTGAGTTTGAGCATGTAACACCTACCATTAGTGAATACTGAGTGTTTTTTCAGCATATTTCAGCATTTTAAATGTATTCCAAATGTACCCTTGGTTACCACTTACTTAGAGATACATTCTAAACACTTTTTTAACAGTATAAGTGAGATCAAGGTGTCTTGTTTTTGTGAGAATGGCTTGTTTGCTTTTTCTACTTTTTATCAAGCCATGGTCAAAATTTAAAGTGGCTGAAAATCTCGATTTTTCAAACTTTTCCTGTTGCCATAGCAACCGAGACTCATAGCAACGAAATTTTGTTTGATATTTGTTTCTGGTGTCAAGTACTAAGCATGGTTGAAGTAACATCAAAATCGGTGACCATGCGTGGCAACGAAGTTTAAGTGGTTACAGAGAATGGCTTTTAATACTTCACATGTATAGTTCTTTTGAAAATCTCTTTTATTGGATATCAACAACTTAGACCTTTAAACCTTGACTTTTTTCTACTATTTAAAAAGTATCACCTTTGCAATAACTTTTAAACTGTTATGTCTAGAACTTTTATACTCAACATACGTAATTTTTATGACAAGAACTTTCTTGGGACACCAATAACTTTGACCTTGACCTTGAAAATTGACCTATTTTGAAAAAAAAAACTTTAGCCTTGGTAACAACTTTTGAACTCTAAGGGCTAAAATTTTCATATGAGTTTTTACCTACCTTTATAAAACGTACACCCTGGCCATAAATTTTGAAAAAAAGATGGTGAAAGGGTTTTATATTTCACATTTAGGTATTTCTTGTGAGAAAGCCTTACTTTGGGTATCAACATGATTGATTTGCATTTGAGAAAATTTAACCTTTGCTATGATGCTATATGAGGGCATCATTGTTTTACAGACACATCTTGTTTTTTTTTTTTTAAGAAACATGGGAATAAATTTATGAGGAAATAAGAAAAAAATAAGTGGAATTTCTTTTTTTAAATACTAGTACATCGTTTATATCACAATTAATTTGCCGAAAATGTCCAAAAACCTTCAATTATTACCTTGTAAATATTTCTTTTTGTGCAAAAATATAGACACCAAAAGTCGAATCACCCTCGTAAAGAAAAGAAAAAAAGAGAACCTTAAACTCTATGTAACACTTTGATATCTGATAAAAAAGTAAAGGAAGTAAATTATTAGTCAGCCCCCGGGCTAACTAGTTACGTTAGGATGAAACTGCAAGTGCGCTTGCGTTAATTGGAATTATGGGAAAAAGTTTAACACAATTTTCTCCAACCAGAGGGCGTGCTTTTCACGTACACTCACGACCTCGATCTATTTATAGACTGCATTGTTCTTCGTCGTTCTCGACGAAATTTAATGACACAGACTGCAATGTTCAACTTCTAGATGAAATATTTGTTAGTTTTTAAATGATATTATAAGAATATTACATTGCTTCTAAAAGAAGTTAAGTACATTTATTCCCTCAATCGCCACTGCATGCAGAAGATTTAAAACTGTGTATTCCTCCGGATGCCAGATGCAAGACTCCCTCGATCAATATCTTGCATAAGACATACACATGTACGGGTCGGAATTCACACAACAATCCACTTGCACAAAGGTCCCAAAATAGTGGAAAAAAAGAACGATCAATTTCTTTTCACTCTAATGATGGAAGTTTTGACAACATCAGAAGACCACTATAAGACAGTAAATTCTTATAATTTACATAACATACATGTAATTGGTGCTTGTGCACGTGAATCGCGGCCACATGTGAGAAATTGACCACAGTAGAATTGCGATAGTGCTGATTTATAGACAGGGCCAACACCCCCACCCCCCCCTCATGAAAGGTGAGAGGAGGGGGGGGGAGGCATGGATTCCAGTATTTTAATCTATAGTTTTGCTATGATGGTAAACATTATCAAAGACATTTTATGTATACGTACTGCATGCATAAACATATTTTGAATTTCCATTTTAAATTGTATTCCGTGGCGTTCATGATCATTACTTTTTTTGGAAGCAATTCCTTTCTTTCCTAATTAACTAAAATGGATGCTCAAACTTAGAAAATGAATTAAATATACATGCAGTATGCCCCCCCCCCCCTCCATATCATGCATTACCTCGAAATGTACAACTGAAAACTGTTAAATATTGAATATTATTTAAAAACAATCTAACACAAAGTCTACCTTCCTTTTATTCATCATAATATATATCATTTTTTTATAGAATTTAACGTGGTCTTAGTTGCCATGGTAGCTTTTGTTCATTTACCGGTATGAGATGAACTTTTTCTGATGTCTGCACCGAATAGACTTTATTGGAGATCATTGTAATGATCACGATTCAGACTAGCTAAAATTTATTCTATGCTTTATTATTTATTATGTTACAAATAAGAAAACGGTTACAAGAATTTAACTTTTCTTACAATGACATTTACACTTAACACATGTTTAAGGAACATAACATAATGGATAGATCAAATCATAAACCATTATAAAACAAGAAAGAAACTTTCTGTAATCCAGTGGCTAACTCTCAGCTTTTTTAAAAAAGCTAATCTTGTACAATAATGTCAGTCATTATATTGTGAAAGAAATGTTTAGAATTCATCTTCTATGCGCGCATGTAGAGAAGGAATAGGCACTGGGGGTTCCATTAACTTACCTACACACACTCCTACAGTTTGCGGAATTATGAATATGTTCATACATGAACACTAAAGGAACAAGAGGCCCATGGGCCATATCGCTCACCTGAGAAGCTTTGAACACATGATTCTGAACCCGATTTCCCCTTGTAATACCTATTGTGCCCCCATCGTACCCAAAGGTCTTAATTTGAACAATATAAATTCCTTAATCACCCGGAGTCATGATTTGAACAATGATTGTTGCTACGCTGGAGGGCGCCCTGTCCATCCCCCTGGGGTCATGATTTGAACAATTAAGAATCTACACTATCCTAGGATGCTTCCACATAAGTTTCAGCTTTTCTGGTCCAGTGGTTCTTGAGAAAAAAGATTTTTTAATGACCCCACCCTATTTTTGTCTTTTCTTGTGAAAGGACCTTGGTCTTCATTTTAACAATTTAAATTTCTCTCTATCCAAGGCTGCTTTTTACTAAGTTTGATTTGGCATTTGGATTTGATAGAAGGTTATATTTTTCTGTTTTTCTTTTAATAAATAAAATAAGAATGTTTTGTTTTTGACCGATAATGACCTTTTCGCGAAATGGAAAAAAAAATCGTCCCCCCCCCTCCCTAAGTCACCTACAAAAAATCTATATATTTCACGATTCAGATTAGACAAAGGAGGAGTAAAAGTTCTTTTCCGGTTTTCCTTAGAATTTGATGCTATGGTGACATGAAGTATAGATTCATGTAGGTACAATATTATTTACCTAATGAACCTGTATAAACAACGTGAAGTAACTTTGTCTGAAATTCGACTATTTGTATGTCTTTCTGTCTGTCTAGCTGTCTGTCCATCTGTCTGTAAACTTTTCACATTTTTGACTTCTTCTTATAAAAACAATGGGCCAATATCAACCAATCGAGTCGAGTTTTTTTTTCCGAAGAAGGGTAACATCAACCGGGGCACAGCCCACTGAATAATGAAGCCACGCCCTCCAGCGTAGCAACAATCAACATTGCCTGCATGACGATGGGTGATATTCCAAAAAATAGCGACTGCGCAAAATTTATGCGCACATGGTTCACCTTTATATGTATTTGTAGAAAACATTCAGTTAAATATAATCAATATTGTACGTAGTTAAGTGTAGCATTTCTTATGTCAAAATGAAAGCATATGCAAATGGTTTGGAATTACTTATAACCCTGGAACTTTTTTCTAATATAATACTGATTTGTGCCTTTTTTCCTGTCCAAAGTACTCTGGTTAGCGATGTAGCCCTTGGGCCTCGTTTTATCTAAGTAAATATTTATTCTAAATTATTTTCAAAGAACGTTAAGCCCCCCTTAAATATATGTAGGATGGAAAAGAGGACACGACTGGCACTACAAGCTCAAACTTCTAACAAATTATATCTGAAGATGCAAGACTACAATGGGGATATTAAAATTTACAATTCTGAGAAGCACCTTTCTTTTTCATTTCTTTTGCAGGTAACAATTCACATTGTTTGGGAGATTATAATTACAATCTATGGAAGACAAGACTATCTGGTATGTACAATAATTATTGTTGAAAAAAGTAAAAGTAACTTACGACATCCCCCCTCCCCCCCACTCTATATAACGACTGCTATCTATTAGTGGAAATCCTATAATTTAACTGCAATAAATATAAAGCATGAAATCTCTTTTATATATGATATTTCGGTAAAGGAATGTTTGAAGTTTAAACAACGCTCTCTGTACATCTTTTGAGGTTTTTTAAAACGATTATATTTTCTATATTTTATATAAAATAAATGCATTTCTCCTTATGGAGTGGCAATGTAATGAAATTAGTTTATTATAAAAAAAAAATAAGTTTTTTACTTGTGTTAATTTGTTGGGGGAGTGGTAGGGTAAAGTTTAACCTTGAACATGTTGAATGTACAATCGGAAAAAATATATAATTTTTAGTTTATAAAACTTTTTAACATCACACTATAATAATTTTTACGCTAGCGAAAGGAAATTTTCATCTCAGGAATAATAAAATTAATCCGTTTATTTTGTAGATCAGTTCTCCACCCTGACTGATGACGAGGTGTTCGTGTTATTATGTTTTCTGTGTTCTGACTCCGGTCCTCCTGACTTCACTGACACAGAGTGGCTGGACATGCTTAATGAGATACGACAGATAATGTACCTTAAAGAGAATCCTGTAACACGTGAGGAAGCACAGAAGACTCTGGACAGGCTGAAGTCACGTGATTACCTTTGGGAAGATCAGGACAAGATAACAGAGGACACAAAGGATGAGACAATGTATAGGATAGCATTAATAAACAATGTTACACCATTCTTTTACAGTAGTTATGACACAGCCAGTGTGTACCTGAGAACAAGGAGATACAACAGAGAACCTGGAGAGAAGTGTGTCATTAGTCCTGGCTGGGATCACTTACTGATACGCCGTCTACAGATGAACATACTGACTCACGTCACCATGGAGGACACGGATATATACTGAAAGGAAAAAGAAACGCAGGGTAGTATAATTTTCGATAAAAATTTGACCACATGACCGAAAATTACGAAAATTGGTCAGAACAGAAATTTAGTTACGGTGCATCAAAATCAGTATTCAGAATTACTCAACCGTAAAATTTATGACGTCACGTAGGGAAAACGCTAAAAAGCCCAAAACGCGTGCAATTTGATAACGACGAGTTTGTCAACAAATCTTGTGGCATTATTTGATGCATATGAGGTATGTACATCGTTTTTCAATATTAAGAGACATGAATTTCTTGCAATCTTGGCACAGTTTACGGAAGTTCAATAGGGTCTTGTTTTCGAATTGCCTAATTAATGAAAAAGGCAACAACTGTTTACAAAGCAGTCTCTTGTAAATTTTCCCCCATAAATCGTGTTACCTGTAGTCAGAGAGGGTCTGGAGTGGTTTTCAATCAACCGTGACGATGACAATAACGCGAAACAGAGCCATGTTTCGAGCGTGTTATTCGTCCTGCCATATCTTAAATCGCCACTTTAATACCACAGAAACGGCCATTTATAGAGACGACGATTATAATCATTACATTCATACGAAATTTGAAAGAAAACAATTCCGCAATTTGGTTTTTTGAGCCAGTCAACTTACTGTTGTATTCATCTCACTGGCGCATGCGCGCGCCGTTTGACTTATTTTTTTGCGTGGTTACCCATGCTAAATATAGCCAGGGTTTGAAAGATGAACACTCTGATGAAATTCCATGCAAAGGAGGAATAAGACTCTGACAGATGCACGAGATGGACATTGAAGATAATAAGAGTTTTCGATTTTCAATTTTGGGGGGTATTGTCATTTGAGCTTCAATAACTCATGAATAATTGGACAAAATCAAATGAGAATTTCGTTATGTCTTTTTGAAAGATGATTTTAAAAGTTAGATAGGAAAACTAAAAAATATTTTAAGAAAAACAAATCTAATTCATCTCAAAAGTTTACCCTGCGTTTCTTTTTCCTTTCAGTATATATGATACGATACACCAGATATGTAAGTCAGATCAAAATAATTGTAAATTGTTCTATTTTTTATTCCGGATTTTTTTTTCCCCAATTTTATTTCAATAATAATTAACAAAAAAAAGTGGAGGTAATACCTCCGCGGAGGCCCTCCTAATATATCTTCACCTGGGGTGCCAGGGGCTCCCTGGATCAGATAGAAATAATTGATTAAATTTGATTTTTGATATACATATATTCAGATGTCCACACTTCAATAAAATATAGCCTTTGAAAAAATACAGTTATTTGTATATATAAATAATACAATATTCCACATACTTGTACTGAGTAAGTACATTCTAGAACTATTGAAAAAAAGATACAGTTATTTGTATATATAAAAAATACAATATTCCACATACTTGTACTTTATACATTTTCATGTACATATAGCATTAAGGAAAAAAAACAGACATAAGAAATAGTTGTAGGGGGACACCAACGCACAAGAGTCCACTTTTCCCCCTACGAAAGTAGTCCCCAAAGGCCAGGTCACCTTTGGATCAATATATAATATATAATTTCATAATTTCTCTGATGATATCAAATTTCATAAGTTCTCTGATGATATCAAAATTACATACAATAGTTTTTGATAATTTTGTTATGAAATAGAACTGAGTAAGTGCATTTTTTAAGAAACACAATAAACCCTCACTAGTCACATCCTCATTTAAAAGTCTACATTTCATTTTATATTTATATATTTTGAAGGCAATGAAGGACAATGTATTGTTTAAAAAGAAGGTATTTTTATTACAATACGTTGGAAAACCAATGACTATAACTTTCCATTGCACATCTATGTTTAAAAGCAATGTTATTTTACTCTAAATTGGTTTTACTATAAAGCAATCAAAAATAAGGTGCTTAATGTCCTCTTCTACATTACAATTCGAACAGTTTACATTTAAGCCTTTTTTTTCCATTTACTAACATACTTATTACAGGTCAGTAAGTTATGCATTAATTTAAAATTGAACTCAGACACATTCTTATCAAATATTCTTTTGACCTTTTCCATGTAAATGTTCTCCCATAAGTGGTAATCATCAATCTTAAATTTCTCATCCCAAAATCTTTCCATTATAGGATTTTTTTATGCTTTCTTTAACAGAATATTGTAGAAGAATTTAGATTTTTTGCCCTCAACATTTTCAAAATGTCCTTGAAAGTTGAAGCGAAGCTGTGGATTACATTTATTTGCTTTACATTGTAGGCTTATTTCTGGAATATGTTTTTTAAATGCACTTTTCACGATCATATATTCACAAAGGTAGTTTTGGGAACATATTAATTTTTCTTTAATTTCATTTATTGTTTTAAACCCTTGGTCATTAAATAGATCAATAACATATTTAAAACCACTTTTGATCCAGTTTGAAAGATAAAGTGGTTTTTCTTTATAAGTTATATTTTTGTTAAACCATATATTCTGTAACTGGAATTTTTCCTGATTATTTTGTTTACATTCATTGAATGCACATATTACTTCTTTATAAAACAGTGGGAGACATTTAATTTTAAAGTCTTGTATTTTAGTTATATTTGTATTCAACAAATAAGGGATATCTATATTACATCTTCTTAAACAAGCACTTAACAGTTTGTTTGAATCGTTGTTTAATTGAACAAGTTTGGTAACCCATGATGCCTTTAAGGCTTTAATTTTGGTTTCAAAGTCGGTAATACCTATCCCCCTTCTGTTATTTTCCTGATAAGAGTTTTACGCTTGATTCTTTCTTTTTTCCCCATATAAAAGAGAAAATTATTTTATTTACCTTCTTTATAATTTCCTGATCTGGGTTTTCAAGTATAGTTGCCACATATAAAAGTTTAGAAATAATTAAGGAGTTAATAATCTGACTTTTTCCGAAAATAGTTAATTTCCTTTTTCTCCAAGAGTCCAAATTTTTTTCAAACTCTTTCAGTTTACGTAGCCAGTTTTTTTCATTACACTTTATTTTGTTGTGTCCAATATAAATTCCAAGACATTTTACAGTATTTATATTGATCTTAACATTTCCTACGTATGTATTATCTTTAAACATGTTTTTTAGCTTCCCCAGTAAGATACATTCTGTTTTTGATAAGTTAAGTTTGGTTCCTGATACATTTCCAAATTTTTCAATTATTTTCATGGTATTTTTCAAAGAGTTTATATCCTTTAAGGGAAAGGTACTGTCATCTGCATGCTGTACGCATTTTATTTCATTTTCCATGTTTTCATGTTTAAAACCTCTAACTAAATCTGAACTGTTTATGTTTTCATTTAGAACTTACATTGCAAATAAAAATAGTAATGCTGAAACCGGACAACCTTGACGTATTCCTCTTTTCATATTGCACTTTCTCGAAATCCATCCATTGTTTTTTATAGTGAATTGCGGATTTGTATATAAAATTTTTATCCATTTAATAAAATTTTCACCGAAATTGAATTTTTCTAATGTTTGAATAGAAAATTCCATTCGATTGAATCAAATGCTTTTTGAAAATCGGCAAGTAAAAGTACACCATCCGTATCCGTGTTTTCACAATATTCAAATATATCAAGAATCAGTCTCGCATTGTTACCAATATATCGTCCTTTTATATAACCTGATTGATTTCTACTTATTAATCCGTCTATCACTTTTTGTAGTCTTTTCGCAAAAACAAATGCAATTATCTTGTAATCACAATTAGTGAGGCTAATTGGTCGATAATTTTCTAACTTATCTAATTCACCTTTTTGTGTATAAGGGAGAGCACTGAACACTTTTGTGTTGAGGTCAGCTCTTCGTCGATATATATTTTAGATATGGCTTCGAACAAAAAATAACTAATGTTTTTCCAAAATATTTTATAAAACTCGACAGGCAGGCCATCAAGACCTGGTGATTTATTATTTTTCATTCCAAGCACTGCCTCTGAAAATTCTTGCAGAGTGGGAAATTTTTCACAATCTTTTTTATCTTCCTCTGACATAATAGATATTATATTTGTTTGTTCTAGATATGATTGGATACTTTCACTTGGTACATCGTTTGAAGAGTATAAACTTTCATAAAAAGTACACAACTGATTTAAAATTTCATTTGTGTTTACAAAAGTAGTACCAGCATTTGTAATTTTGTTAATAACGTTTTTAGACTGATGTTTATTTTCAAGTCTTAAGAAGTAAGATGAATTTTTTTCTCCTTCGTCTATCCATTTAGCTCTTGATCTTATTTGTGCTCCTTTAGCCTTGTTTTCATATAGTTTATCGAGTTCATTTTCTAATTCTTTTTTGTGTAACATGTTGATATTTATATGATGTTGATTCTCAATTTGCTCAAGTTCGTTTTCTAATTTTAGTATTTTTTGTTTTGTGTTTCTACTTTTTTCCTTACAATATTTTATGCTTAGATTTTTTATTTTTAATTTAATCAGTTCCCATTTAGTTTTCGGATTTTCCTCTAATTTGATATCATCTGGTAAGTTCTTTAAAAATGAATTTATCATTTCGCAATAGCTTGATTCAAGAAGCACAGATGTATTTAACTTCCAATATCCTTTTCCCCTACTATTCGAAGAAATTTCACATTTAAATATAATGGCAATATGGTCACTCATCCTTGTATTTGAGACCGATGGTGGCCTACGCAAGTATATATTTTCTGGCTTGTAACAAAAATTTTTTGTTAGAAAAACATAGTCTATTCTACTTTTTGGAGTGTTATTTCCGTCACACCAAGTAAAACCATTTTTATCTGTTTTTAAAGTTTTCCACAAATCAACAAGATCAAAATGAAAATGTAATTTCTTCAAAATATTTGAACTTCTGTCGTTATCTTTTAAAATATCACAATTAAAATCACCAAGTAGAAAAATATTTTCGTCAGTCATACAATATTTTGAAATCCACTTAGACATTTTCCTAAAAAAGTCAACTCTGCAATTTTCGGTATTCGGTGCATAAATATTTACAATTGTAA